GCCCGCCATAGACTCTCTATGGTGGGCTCTGCATGGTCTCACTCCTTACCTGTCCGCCTCCTTTTCCTCCACCGTCGCTGATGGGCCCCGCCTCCTCCCCTGTTACCGACCTCGTGCCCCGCCTCCTCCTCCACTCCCGGGTCCAGACTGCTCCACCGCCGCTGCTGCTTCTGGCTCTCATTGAGTCTGTGGAGAGGAGCGCGCCGCTGCACAGATTGCCGTCAGTCATCTGAACAGCGGCGTGTTCGTCTTCAGCCGCCAGCAGAGGATCCCAGGCGGCCCGCACGTCATCTGGCCGGGCCCCACTGTGCCCCGGGCCCCATAGCGGCCGCCTGGGTCTCTATGGTGATTGTTAGGCCACTGGCAGAAGGTACCAGAATAGAGGGGGCAAATATAACAAGCATGAGGCAAAGTTCCAACAGTTTACGAAATAGGAATCCAGGGATGCCACTGACATCGGCAATGATGTGTCAGGGTAACGCCACACGCCCCAGATAATATCTAGATAGCAGCTGGCAGTTAGAATGGCACCACAAGTCACAGCAGTCCCTGTGCCTCAGTAGTTTCAAGCACAGTATATATAGGAGCAGAGCTATATGTCCCAGTAATCCTAATTTCCATCTGGTCTTCCCCTAGTAAGAACTACAGCAGGGGTGTGGAATTCCTATGGCACGGCGCCCCGGGACAGGCAGTTTCGGGCGCCGGGCGAGCACCGTATTTTTCGCTCCATAAGACGCACTTTTTTTTCCCCCCAAAAGGAGGGTGAAAATGTGCCTGCGTCTCATGGAGCGAATCCCGACGCCCGAGACGTGCAGTTTCGGGCGCCGGGCGAGTGGTAGGAGCCGTCGCTCGTTTAATACGAGTGATCTAATGAGATCACTCGTATTAAAACCGAGCGGCGGCGACGATGGAGATCACCATAGAGCAGACGGAAGAACGGACGTCCTTCGTCTGCTCTGCGTGATCACTGAGACCGTGGCGCTGTAACCACAGTGTAATCACAGCGCCGCCTGTCTCAGCGGTCACTGTCATAGAAGCTGTGACAGAAGCTACGGTCTGTCGAGTGCTCCATAAGGCGCGCCGGACCTCCCTGCGTCCTATGGTCCGGTGTGTCTTATGGGCCGCAAAATACGGTATTTTTTTTTTTTTTCTACATTTAGCCCGGCTGCGGGCAAGCACCACGGCTAAAAGTAGTGTGGGAGCCATTTTGTACAAGTGATTTTAAACGGCTGCACAGCCCTCCAAAAATCACTCGTAACCTGCCTGAATCACGCTCCTCGCTCCCCTCTCCTCCTCCCCTCTCTCTATCTCCAGCGGCCAGCTCCCGGCTGCCTGTCTCTGGCTGCACGCTGGCTTCTTTTGCTGTAGTCTTCGGGGTCCCCCCCCCCCTCCCCCTCTTGTGGGGGATTCGTGACCACGGCAAATTAGGTTCCAGAGCACGGAGCAAGGCAGAGAACGGTTCTCTGCTCCATGTGCGCAGTGACACAGGAATGCAGCCTTCCCGTCACAGGAGAAATGGCCCAGCGCCGCACTAGAACTCCTGTGTCGGAGGTGACAGGGGTCAATAAAGAGAACCCGTCACCTTCCAAAAGCTATCGCACATGGGGGCTTGTTACCCTTGTGTGATGGCAATAAAGTCAAGTGGAAAAAAAAAAGTAAAAACATATATAACACTTACAAATGTAAACATGAAATTGGAAAAAATTTAAATGCATAAAAATAGAAGGAAAAAAAAGGCGATAAAGTAAAAAATAAATAATAATTAAAAAAATATTACAAAGCAAAAAAAAAAAAAAAGAAAAAAAGGTCATGCTCAAACCTGAGTCCCCAGACCCCCCCTCCACAGGAGCCCCTTCATCAGCCATGCAGATCAGTTGATTGGCACGCTGTAACATGAGTTTCAGAGTCTGCTGATCTGATATCGCTGACACGTCACACTTGTATAATGTCTGTCGGGTCTCATCGGTGCCGCTTGTTCTGTTGCTCTTCCAGGTGTATGCAATCGTCACCAGCGTGCATGACACGTGTACTCGGATCCCTCGTATGACCGGTGAGGAGAAGGAGTTTGAGACCATGGAAAGAGGTGAGCAGAGCACATTGTAATGTCCCCCCCCCGTCCCCCCCCATGTCTCCGGGTCACAGACTCCTCTGCGGCTCTATAATTGTCTGATGTTGGCATTACCCGAATCTGTAGAATCTCCTCCTCGGTGATTGGTGTCTGTGTAACTCCTCCTCCTATTCTTGTAGATGATCGCTATATCTCACCCGTACAAGAGGCGTTTTCCATCCAGCTCATCTCCCCCGTCAGCTGGGAGACCATTCCAAACACCAGGTACTGGGCCAAGTTCTGTCCTCCCAAACACCAGGTACTGGGCCAAGTTCTGTCCTCCCAAACACCAGGTACTGGGCCAAGTTCTGTCCTCCCAAACACCAGGTACTGGGCCAAGTTCTGTCCTCCCAAACAAGGTGTCCCTTAACGAGCTCCTAGAAATGGATGTAACTTCCTGTCTGTCTTTGTATCAGAATCGATTGTGAGGAATGGGAGCACGCCACCTGCATGAAGACCGTCAACCTGAAGAGCGAAGAGACCGTGTCTGGCCTGAAGGGGTACATTGCAGTGGGGACGTGTGTGATGCAGGGAGAGGAGGTCACCTGTAGAGGACGGGTAAGTCACAGTATTGGAAGTCCTTTCATCATTGGTCGGGTCTTCCTGTTTGGGATTTAATAGTCTCTGCTGCCTGTCAGATAGAAGACTGAAGGGGAGGACGGAGGTCAGAGAGCAGACTGAAGGGGAGGACGGAGGGCAGATAGAAGACTGAAGGGGAGGACGGAGGGCAGATAGAAGACTGAAGGGGAGGACGGAGGGCAGATAGAAGACTGAAGGGGAGGACGGAGGGCAGATAGAAGACTGAAGGGGAGGACGGAGGGCAGATAGAAGACTGAAGGGGAGGACGGAGGGCAGATAGAAGACTGAAGGGGAGGACGGAGGGCAGATAGAAGACTGAAGGGGAGGACGGAGGGCAGATAGAAGACTGAAGGGGAGGACGGAGGGCAGATAGAAGACTGAAGGGGAGGACGGAGGGCAGATAGAAGACTGAAGGGGAGGACGGAGGGCAGATAGAAGACTGAAGGGGAGGACGGAGGGCAGATAGAAGACTGAAGGGGAGGACGGAGGGCAGATAGAAGACTGAAGGGGAGGACGGAGGGCAGATAGAAGACTGAAGGGGAGGACGGAGGGCAGATAGAAGACTGAAGGGGAGGACGGAGGGCAGATAGAAGACTGAAGGGGAGGACGGAGGGCAGATAGAAGACTGAAGGGGAGGACGGAGGGCAGATAGAAGACTGAAGGGGAGGACGGAGGGCAGATAGAAGACTGAAGGGGAGGACGGAGGGCAGATAGAAGACTGAAGGGGAGGACGGAGGGCAGATAGAAGACTGAAGGGGAGGACGGAGGGCAGATAGAAGACTGAAGGGGAGGACGGAGGGCAGATAGAAGACTGAAGGGGAGGACGGAGGGCAGATAGAAGACTGAAGGGGAGGACGGAGGGCAGATAGAAGACTGAAGGGGAGGACGGAGGGCAGATAGAAGACTGAAGGGGAGGACGGAGGGCAGATAGAAGACTGAAGGGGAGGACGGAGGGCAGATAGAAGACTGAAGGGGAGGACGGAGGGCAGATAGAAGACTGAAGGGGAGGACGGAGGGCAGATAGAAGACTGAAGGGGAGGACGGAGGGCAGATAGAAGACTGAAGGGGAGGACGGAGGGCAGATAGAAGACTGAAGGGGAGGACGGAGGGCAGATAGAAGACTGAAGGGGAGGACGGAGGGCAGATAGAAGACTGAAGGGGAGGACGGAGGGCAGATAGAAGACTGAAGGGGAGGACGGAGGGCAGATAGAAGACTGAAGGGGAGGACGGAGGGCAGATAGAAGACTGAAGGGGAGGACGGAGGGCAGATAGAAGACTGAAGGGGAGGACGGAGGGCAGATAGAAGACTGAAGGGGAGGACGGAGGGCAGATAGAAGACTGAAGGGGAGGACGGAGGGCAGATAGAAGACTGAAGGGGAGGACGGAGGGCAGATAGAAGACTGAAGGGGAGGACGGAGGGCAGATAGAAGACTGAAGGGGAGGACGGAGGGCAGATAGAAGACTGAAGGGGAGGACGGAGGGCAGATAGAAGACTGAAGGGGAGGACGGAGGGCAGATAGAAGACTGAAGGGGAGGACGGAGGGCAGATAGAAGACTGAAGGGGAGGACGGAGGGCAGATAGAAGACTGAAGGGGAGGACGGAGGGCAGATAGAAGACTGAAGGGGAGGACGGAGGGCAGATAGAAGACTGAAGGGGAGGACGGAGGGCAGATAGAAGACTGAAGGGGAGGACGGAGGGCAGATAGAAGACTGAAGGGGAGGACGGAGGGCAGATAGAAGACTGAAGGGGAGGACGGAGGGCAGATAGAAGACTGAAGGGGAGGACGGAGGGCAGATAGAAGACTGAAGGGGAGGACGGAGGGCAGATAGAAGACTGAAGGGGAGGACGGAGGGCAGATAGAAGACTGAAGGGGAGGACGGAGGGCAGATAGAAGACTGAAGGGGAGGACGGAGGGCAGATAGAAGACTGAAGGGGAGGACGGAGGGCAGATAGAAGACTGAAGGGGAGGACGGAGGGCAGATAGAAGACTGAAGGGGAGGACGGAGGGCAGATAGAAGACTGAAGGGGAGGACGGAGGGCAGATAGAAGACTGAAGGGGAGGACGGAGGGCAGATAGAAGACTGAAGGGGAGGACGGAGGGCAGATAGAAGACTGAAGGGGAGGACGGAGGGCAGATAGAAGACTGAAGGGGAGGACGGAGGGCAGATAGAAGACTGAAGGGGAGGACGGAGGGCAGATAGAAGACTGAAGGGGAGGACGGAGGGCAGATAGAAGACTGAAGGGGAGGACGGAGGGCAGATAGAAGACTGAAGGGGAGGACGGAGGGCAGATAGAAGACTGAAGGGGAGGACGGAGGGCAGATAGAAGACTGAAGGGGAGGACGGAGGGCAGATAGAAGACTGAAGGGGAGGACGGAGGGCAGATAGAAGACTGAAGGGGAGGACGGAGGGCAGATAGAAGACTGAAGGGGAGGACGGAGGGCAGATAGAAGACTGAAGGGGAGGACGGAGGGCAGATAGAAGACTGAAGGGGAGGACGGAGGGCAGATAGAAGACTGAAGGGGAGGACGGAGGGCAGATAGAAGACTGAAGGGGAGGACGGAGGGCAGATAGAAGACTGAAGGGGAGGACGGAGGGCAGATAGAAGACTGAAGGGGAGGACGGAGGGCAGATAGAAGACTGAAGGGGAGGACGGAGGTCAGATAGAAGACTGAAGGGGAGGACGGAGGTCACATTACCAGGTGATGATTATTGCTGCTCTCTTCCTGTCCTCAGATTCTTATCATGGATGTGATTGAAGTGGTCCCGGAGCCGGGTCAGCCTCTAACCAAGAACAAGTTCAAGGTTCTGTATGAGAAGGAACAGAAGGGTCCGGTCACTGCCCTGTGCCATTGTAACGGGTATCTGGTGACAGCCATTGGCCAGAAGGTAAGTGATGGAGTATCTCTTGTTGGGGTTAGTGGGAGCCCCCGGCCTGCACCTACCCCTGTGCATTGTGGGAGCCCCCTACCTGCACCTACCCCTGTGTATCGTGGGAGCCCCCTGCCTGCACCTACCCCTGTGTATCGTGGGAGCCCCCTGCCTGCACCTACCCCTGTGTATCGTGGGAGCCCCCTGCCTGCGCCTCCCCCTGTGCATTGTGGGAGCCCCCGGCCTGCACCTACCCCTGTGCATCGTGGGAGCCCCCTGCCTGCACCTACCCCTGTGCATCGTGGGAGCCCCCTGCCTGCACCTACCCCTGTGTATTGTGGGAGCCCCCTGCCTGCACCTACCCCTGTGCATTGTGGGAAGGGGGACTTGTCACCCAGCTCTCTATCATCTCTCTCTTCCTCGTCCTAGATCTTCCTCTGGAGTCTGAAGGACAACGATCTGACGGGGATGGCGTTCATTGACACTCAGCTCTACATCCACCAGATGATCAGTGTCAAGAATTTCATTCTGGGTGCCGACCTGATGAAGAGCATCTCACTGCTGCGCTACCAGGAGGAGAGCAAAACCCTGTCACTGGTCAGCAGGGTGAGTGCACCACCACTCCCCCCACCATTACCACCCCCCCCACCATCACCACTCCCCCCACCAAAGCGAGATGAATGTTCCTCCCCCTATGACCAGTCCCATGTCCTGCTGAACACTCCTCCCTCATGTCTGGTGATGATCCTCGGGTCTCCGTCTCTCCTTCTACACAGGATGTGAAGCCTCTGGAGGTGTACAGTGTGGAGTTCCTGGTGGACAACAATCAGCTCGGCTTCCTGGGTGAGTCCTGAGTGATGGAGGAGGGGGAGGGGGGGCATGACACTTTGTGCTGCGTTGTGCTGCGTTCTCATCTACCAACGTTTCCTTTACAGTGTCTGACCGTGACCGAAACATCATGCTGTATATGTACCTTCCGGCCGGTGAGCTATCTTCCCTCTCTACTCCCTTCAATGTGTCGGAGCCTACACCCCGACCTTCTCCATGTCCGGAACCCCCCCAGTGCGGTCCAATCACTCACCACGTTCTCCGTTATGTGTTCCAGCGAAGGAAAGTTTCGGGGGACTGCGGCTCCTGAGACGGGCAGACTTCCACGCAGGCTCCCACATCAATGCCTTCTGGAGGACTCCGTGCCGCGGAGCCAGCGAAGGGCCCAGTCGGAAGACGGCGTTGTGGGACAACAAGCACATCACGTGGTTCGCTACGCTGGATGGCGGCATCGGCCTCCTGCTCCCGATGGAGGAGAAGAATTATCGCAGATTGCTGATGTTACAGAATCATCTCAATGTCTGGATTCCGCACCACGCCGGCCTCAACCCCCGCGCATTCAGGTACGCCTGTCCGTGTCTGCTCCGGCGCCGGACAAGAGGCAAATAATATCGCCTCTGCGGACGTTTCAGGGGGAGAATGGGTATAGGAGGCCGAGGGGGAGCACTTGTGTAGGATGCACTGAGAGCGGACTGTGCAGGCCGGGGGGTACGGGAGAGGGATCATGGAGCCGGGGGGTACGGGAGACGGAGAGGGATCATGGAGCCGGGGGGTACGGGAGACGGAGAGGGATCATGGAGCCGGGAAGGAGGCAGGGAGGATTAATGGAGGGGGGGGGGTATAAGAGGTGGAGATGGATCATACAGCCAGGGGGGTATAGGAGGCTGGGAGGGTACAAGAGGCAGAGAGGGATTCATGGGGGGGATATAGGAGATGGATCATGGAGCCAGGGTGGTATAGATGGCAGGGAGGGTACAAGAGGCAGAGAGGGATCATTGAGCTGGGCAGATCATGGAGTCGGAGGCGCGGGGGTGTAGGGTACTGACTGAGCTGATTGTGGAGCTGGGTGGTTTCGGTGGCAGGGAATGCGCTGATCATAGACATTGAGGGTATATGTGGCAGAGAGGGAGCTCATCTAGGGGGTGGGGGGTATAGGAGGCAAAGGGGGAGCTAATCCTTGAGTCAGGGGAATGGCCATTGAGGGACACATGAATTCAGAGACTGTCGGGTTATACTGCTACCTACATGAGGATTGGACTCCGGCATACTACGTGGGCCAGGAAACCTCCCCTACTCCTCGCATGTTTCTTCTTGTGTCCTCGGGGGATGGACGCCATTTCTTGGCTCTGCACTCGAGTTCCCCGGGATGTGTGAGCTTACCTCGCCCTTACCGCTTCTATTACAAAGACTGATTGTGGCCCTCGTAAGGGGGACCCCGCTTCTCGCTCCACCGCTTCTGGATTGCTCAGACAAAGTGTCCTTCACGCTCAAGGTCTCAGGGATCGAGTCCCACCT